TAGTGATTCTAGATTAATTTTGCCAATTTTAGAAAATAGTATCATGCCATAGGTATATGTCTGTCTTCTTTTGCTCAGCATAAGCAAGATTCATTCATGTTGAATGAATGAATGTTTTTGAGATTCATTCATGTTGTTGCATATATCAGTAATTGCTTCCTTTTTATTGCTGAGTAGTATTCCATAGCATGGTTATACTGCACCACAATTTGCTTAACCATTCATCTGGGAAGGACATTTAGGTTGTTTTCAGCTTTTGGTTATTAGGACTACAGCTGCATGAATAATCACATAAAGTAATTTTGTGGAGATATATTTTTATTTCTCTTGAGTAAATATCTAGGTGTAGGTGTATATTTTGGGATCAGTATAGAAATAAAAATTGTTTTCTACTAATATTCTAGACTGATCACATTCTTTAGCTCGGAACTTGTCTTACTTGATGATTCTAATTTCAATTTTAATTTAGGGAAATCTTTGTTCTGAATGTGTTTAATGGAATAAAATAAAATGGAAGTTATTATATATTTGATTTTTAGTAGTAGACATGTAGTTATAGTATGTAAAATTGGGGACTGTGGCATGACATTCAGGATTCAAATATTTGTATGAAAATAGCAATGAAGGATTGTTTTTTTAAATGACAATCTATAATTCTATAATTATCTGTGTTTCATTAGAAAACATTTAAAAAATTTTCTGAAGGTTACTGAAAATTAGTTGTACAGTTTTGATGCTGGCAAATGATACAGGTAATGTGAAGCTGCAGCAGTGATGTGCTGTAGCTAAGAATACATAGCAATGGGATTCTAGCTGTGCTTATGTGTTGACAATCTTATTCTTGAGGGTCTAGTTTGTACTGAAAGGTAGAGCACATGTCAAGAAATTATTCAGTTTGAACAATCTGAATAAGGATTGACATAATTTGCTTCGTGAATTTTGATATTTGCTTTGTCTGTTTTCTAACATTCTTGGTTGGACATTTTTATCTTTCAAACATCTGAGGACATTTGGGAACTATAACTTGTGTTTTAAATTTATCAGGGGAACTCAATGTTCTGAAAGGATCATGCTGGCAGTAGTCTGATATTACTCAGGATGCTTGGTTTTTTCCACTTGAATTTGTTGAGAGAGACCTATGTGCTTTTCCTGTTGGGGATATAGAAAGACTATGCATGTTTATAGCATGTTATCAGAGTCTAACCGTGTTCATTGTCTTTGAGATAATGCATTTTGACAAATGCACAGTGTCACATATCAACCATCACAGTATCATACATTATACTTTTGCTGCCCTAAAAATTGCCCTATTCTTTACGTGTTCATCCTTCCTCTTTTTGCCTTTCTTCCCCCCAATTCTGGCAACCGCTGATCTTTTTACTGTCTCTATAGCTTTGCCAACTATTTTTTTTCCTTATGCTTTAGGTAAGTGCTATGCACACAAAGCTTCAAGACAAGTTTCTTATCTCTGTCATCCAATCACATTACTTTCTGTAACTCTTTTATATAATCTGTCTTTTCCTGGGGACCTCCTGGAGGGTGGTGGAAGAAATCCAACTACCACAAGCTACAGGAGAGATGGCTTTTGTTCCATTTGTTCTCTTCTCTTCTTCCTTTAATAATAAAACATTCCTACCCTGTCAAGGTTTGACTGAGCCCATAGCTAGAAACTACATTTCCTACCTTCCCAGTATCTCGGTGTGACCTATGGGATATGAGCAGAAAGGATATGTACAAGTAATAAAAACTGACAAGATTGAGAAAATAAGACATTTACCATGTAACTTTAAACTTGTGTCCCATTACAGGACCACATTATCTAAAGGATATTATGAATTATTTAAAAATAAATCCTGCAATTATCTCATAAAAGACACAAGTATGGCCAGGCGTGGTAGCTCATGCCTGTAATCCTAGCACTCTGGGAGGCCGGGGCAGGAGGATTGCTTAAGCTCAGGAGTTCGAGACCAGCCTGAGCAAGAGTGAGACCCCCATCTCTATTATAAATAGAAAGAAATTAGCCAAACAACTAAAAATAGAAAAAATTAGCCTGGTATGGTGGCGCATGCCTGAAGTCCCAGCTACTGGGGAGGCTGAGGTAGCAGGATTGCTTGAGCCCAGGAATTTGAGGTTGCTGTGAGCTAGGCTGATGCCAGGGCACTATAGCCAGGGCAAGAGAGTGAGACTCTATCTCAAAAAAAAAAAAAAGAAAGGAAAAAAGACACAATTATATTACATTGTAATGTTTGGAAATTAAAGTGTTCATTGGTTAACGCAAGATGACATTGAATGTAATACAGTTCATACAACCCTATTTTGAATTTTTTGTCATTTTACATGAGTCTCAAAAAACCAAAACAAAACCCAAAAAAGCAGAAGTTTCAAATTCCAGGAGGCCCTGTGTGAAACAAGGGCATTTAAAATGCAATGGACAAACAGAAGCCTATGAAAGTAAGAAAAACAAATGGCTGGAGAGCTGGAAGGAGACTGAGGGGCCTGTGGTTTTATGTAAACTGGTGGAAGCAAGCAAGACCTTTTAGAAGTGAGCAATGTACAAATGATACATACAAACTCTAATAAAGTAAGTACTAAAAGGGATTTAATATTAGGATATCATTACCCTTGACTTGGTTTTCACATCTATAAAATGGGTATCTCATGAGGTTATCATGAGTTCAACTATGTACTATAAAGCTTCTAGACTATAGGATGCGTTCAATAAATTTTAGCTTCCTTCCTCTCATTTTGTGGTCAATTCATTGTTCTATTCAACAAATGTTCATTATTATTGAGGAATAATTACAGACCCTGCCGTAAAGCACTTTATAGTGTAGGTTAAATACATAAACAGGCCAGTACTATTCTTTTCCATGAATGAGAAGTACATGGAAGTTATCTGATTTATTTCTTTTAGTTTCTGACAGATGAATTATGAAACTTTAAAACATTTCCAGTGCAAAAAATATATATACATTTTAAGAGACAGGGTCTCCCTCTGTTGCCCAGGTTGGAGTGTGATCATAGCTCATTATAACCTTGAACTCCTGGGCTCAAGGGATTCTCCCAAGTGGCTAGGACTAGAGGTGCATGCCACTACAACTGGCTAACTAATTTTTTTGTTTTTTTTGTAGAGACAGAATCTCTCTATGTTCATTGTCTAGGCATTGGTCTGGAACTCCTGGCCTCAAGAGATCCTCCCACCTAGGCCTCCCAAATTGCTGAGATTACAGGTGTGAGCCACCAAGCCTGGCCAAAAAATATTTTTTTAAGTTAACATGTCAGAGTTTAAGTTAATATGGCAGAGTTGGCACATGAAGTGTTTCTAAAATATTAAGTACAATGTAAAGCAATATATTCTTATTCTTTTCTCTGAAAGCTTTATATTTTTAGGGTATATACTTAAAATTGAAGAGAGACACCCATCCACTAAAGATCTCATTCAGAACTCACTGCTTCGTACTTAAAAAAAAAATCAAATGGATAATTTAAGTTGGCAGCTACCAATTACTTTATATTCATAACTGCTCAAAAATGTTATTAGAAGTTCACTTTTACTAGTAGTATCTTCTTAAAATTGAGTTTTAAATTACTTTACATGCAGTAAAATTTATCCCTTTTATGAATTTTGATAAACAAAACTGGTTTAATCACCAACACAATCAAGATATAGAACAGTTTCATCACACCCCCCCATTCCCTTGAGTCCGTTTTCCGTTAACCCCTTCCCTCAGCCCTTGCCCCTCGGTACCATTGATTAGTATTGTGTTCTTTTAAAAAAACTTTTTATTTTTAAATCATCATAGACTCACAGGAAATTGCAAAGATAGTAGGTAGTACCTTGAGTCCCATGTACCTATCACCAAGTTTTCTCCAATGGTGACATCTTATACAACTGTTTAATAAGATCAAAACCATGCCCTGTGTAGTTTGAAGGCAGGTTTTCCTTTCACTTCCCTTGCATTTACTCCTTTCATTTCCAACAAATTTAACACATTAACTGCCATGTGAGTTGTATTTAACTCACGCTAGTTTTGAGTCGAGGGCCTCCTGAAGCATACGTAACTCACACGTCTCTTCACCTATGGAGCCGAGTGAACTATTTTTCAAGTTCCATATAACTCACACACAGAAAACAATAAAAAAAAAACCTCCCAAATTTGTCATTAAACTAGACAGGATCGTTTTGTTTTCGAAGTTTTAATTCTATTTTCGTAATAAAACACCCTGGCCCCAAAGAAAAAAATTGTTTTCTAGTGTGGCAGTCAGTGTGTTAACTTTGTTGTTTAAAGGAGCAGATGCTAGTTTTTCCTTCAGATGTCTGCAATCACCCTTGTTGCTCCTACATTTTTCTCTAGTCTTTATCCCCACCATTTCACCCCAGTTTAATTTTGCTGCTGCATTTTTCCCCCCATACTTTGCCACAGATGGTACTATTGTCACTATTCGGATTCTTAACTTCTCCCTCCACACTTAAGTTTTGGAGGGGTGGCCGGGCTGGTGCTGAACAGTGTTTACGGGACTTTTTGCAGCGTGTATGCTGCCACGGCTCTCCAACCTCTCCAGGGACGCCAGAGGCACTACACAGTTCGTCCTCGTTCTTGCTCTACTCTTGCTCCATCGATCCCTGCTTTATTTTTCAGATTTTTGGCAATCTGCAGGGAGTGTGTAGGGCAGCCCCTCCGCCGGGTTGCGGCGGGCCCTCTGGTCCCCACCCCAGGGGCCGCCTTTGTGCTCCGCGGAGGGCACCGCCTGCGTGCGGCTGTGGGGAAGGGCCGCCCGGGAAGCGCAGGGCGGGGCCTCGGCGTCTGGGCGATGTCACCTCCCTCCCCTCCAGGCCCCTGCAGTCCCAGCCCTGGTCCCCGCCCGGCTCCAGGCCCGAGAGCGCCGCCGCCGACGTCACCTGCCTGCGCTAGGCTGCCTCCTACGGTGCGCGGGAAAGCGCAGTGCGCATGCTCCGCGTGGTCGCCGGCGGCGGCGGCGGCGGCTGAGGGAGGGGTTAGTTACTTCTGGTGGGCCTCGGAGCGCCCTGGTTCCACTCCTCCGCTGCCGCCGCCCTAGCGGCCCTCATTTCTGTCCTCCTCAGGGCCACCGGCGCGGCGGTAGCCTCGGTGCCCGGGACCTCTCCCCGCTCCCCTCCCCCCGGCCCCGTCGCCCCGCCCCCGCCGGGCTGGGCTGCAGGGTCAGGGGCCGAGCGGAGCGGGTGAGTATTCCCACAGCACACGCCGGCGCCTCCTCCGGCTCCGCTTCCCGCGCGGGCCTCTCCGCTCTCCTTGGACGGGGAGGAAGGGCGGGCGCGGGTGGGCGGGAAATAGCCCAGTCCCGAACAAAAGGCCGGGAAGCGGGACTCCCGCCCGGGAGCGGCGGGCCCTGTGCTGGCTGCCGCGCTGGGGAGGGCGAGGGGGCCCTGTTGCCCCTGCCCCCGGGGCTCCGGCTCGCGTCGCGCGCGCCCGTGTCACCAGCACTCCGGGGCCGCTACCCAAGGGCCTCACCCTCGACGTGGGTAGCCACTTCCTTGTGTTTAAGATCTGCAAATGGATAGCAAGCCTTTGTCCATGTGACGTTAAAACAAAGGGTATTAAATTACTGGTCATTCCAGCGGCCAAGTCCCAAGTCATTTGAAGGGTTTCAGATTCATGAAGTGGCAGGAGGAATTTTTTTAACCTCCCAAATAACCTATAAGGTCACGAGTAGGCGGCGGAGGGGGGGCTGGAGGTTGGTAAAGGAATAGTTAACTGATTTACAGAAACATACCTTTAGTGGTGGTAAAAAACTACAGAAATCTTGGCAATAAGGCGAAAGGATGGCTACATGTCCTTTGAAAGTCAAAATGGAGCCTTGTCTAACAGGCCCACCTGAGGATGATTTAGTTATCTTGGGGACTGTATTTTGTTTGACATAATATTGATTAGGACCCAAGATTTGCAGTTAGCATCTTTTAGACTAATCGAGATGCAAGTTATTTCTGACTGGGAGGGAAAAAAAAGTATTCCTAAAGTTTGTGGGGTTTTTGCCTTATAGGATATTTACCATTTTTCTGTCCAACCTAGCAATGTTATACCATCATTTTTTCTTCAGTATTTGCGCTCAGTTCTCTAAATGTTTCTGAGCACACTTTCCTATTCAGCTTGCTCCTTCATCATGAATTCAATAAAACTTTGCCATAGGCTCACTTTGAATCATGTTTATAACTTTTATAATTGGATAATGGCTTCTGCTCTTCAGTGGCAAAAGCTTTAAGTTTCTATGCTTTTTAGGACAAGAGAGCATAGGCCTTGTGTAGTACTCAAATACATCATAGGACCCCAAGTAGAATCCTTTCTCATTGCTTCTGAAGGGTCAATTATCAGAGGAAGCATTACAAAATGAAAACCTTGGCCAAAAAATAAATCTTGAGTATTGAGAAATTAAAATTAAAGTCTTGCAAATTGCAGAGTTTGAAAATTATTATTGATATTTTAAATTGAGGAAACTAGTGGAAATAGTGGTTCTAAACTGGATACAATTGGATATGGAATGTTACAAGATTGTTTCCCCTGTCCCCTGTTCTCCCCTACCACTTCCTTTTTTATTTAGGATAAGGTTAACTAAGATTTTGCCACATCATGGACCAATTAAATTATGTATAACATTGTGGGACAAACTCTATGTTCACAGGAGTTCTTAATGCCTAGTAAATTTCTGAGAAAGGTAGGCAGCCAATTAGAAAAAAGAAGTAGGGTAAACCTTACATAATAAGATTGAATAAGACTTTAAGATTTGATCATTATCTTTGAAGCCTGGAGATGTGTTTGGGACCCAGGAGGTTGTGTTTGAATCATAAATATAATCAGGGAACCATAAAAAAAAAAGCCATAGAGATTATTTGGTGATTATCTGTTGCAAAAAGTTTTCAGGGGCCAGGCAGGCTGGGTTTAAAACATTTGGAAAGTGGGGGAATGGAGAATAAGCCCTACCCAAAGGCATCTTGATTAGGGAAAGGTTGAAAACTGCAGAATCAGAGGCTTCTCCAAATGTGCTGCCTGGCACCACAAGCCTTGAAGTGCCTGATTGCATAGATTTATAGGATCCAGGAGCAGTACTTACTAACAGTATAGTTTTGAAGTTAGGGTTATTGCACATCACTGTCACGTAATATCATTCTGAGAAAACCTTTTTGTCTCTTACGAGCTCGGACCCTACAATGGGATCATGTCACCCACTGTTTTATGTGGAATCTCCTTTGAGATCAAATTTTTATTTTTTTTAAGAGAACTCTTTTGCGCTTTCAACTGCTCTCATGGAGTAGGGCTTAGCCCATGAGATAGGACAGAGGATCTGAGGCCGCCATGGGCTAATGGACCTACAAGGTCACAAGCAAGTAAGTGGTCCAGCTGAGAGGGAGAGAGAGTAGACATGTGTGGTCACCTTGGAAGTCTCAGCACGGACAAGCCTCACCTGGTTATCACTTGGGAGACCTGGAGGAAGGAAGGCGGAGGGGGCAGGTTATTATCGGGAAGAAAGCAGGGCCCTGGGGTTGGGCCTGAAAGAAGGGGCTTTCTGTGAGCCTGAGGATACCCAGTGACGTGTACACACTTGGCCCTCAAGGCAAGTTCTCTGCTGGCCTGTTAAGTCTTCTCAGCAACTCCGGTGGGATATTTTATCCCCACTTTACAGGTGAGGATGCCAAAAGAACTTCATTCAGCTCCTCGTTAGGAGGTGACCACACACACATGCTCTGCCTTCAGGTCCTTCCCATGTCCCAGTCCCCTAATCCGTTACTCAGGCTGCATCTTCCTACCCATCCCCATCGTACCGTGGCCAGCTGGTTACGGTGTTCTTGTCTTTTCACCTTCTGAACCTGCGCACCTGTTTTTCCCTTTGCCTGGAATGCCCCTTCCATTCCCCATTGAACTCCTATTCATCCCTCAATGCCACAGCCTCCCCGGTCATTCAGCCAAGCAGAACAGAGTGCCATCTCCCTGCCCATTTCTCTTTTGGCTCTCATCCCATGTTTCTAACCAATGGCTTTTTTGGGGGGGAGGGGTTTATTTTAGTGTATTATGGGGGTACATGTGTTAAGGTTACATATATTGCCCATGCCCCCCCTCGAGTAAGAGCTTCAAGTGTGACCATCCCCCAAACTTTGCACATCTTACTCGTTTTGGTTGTATATACCCATCCCCTCCTCCCCCCTCCCACACTCCTGACACCCAATAAATGTTACTCCTATATGTCCACTTAGGTGCTGATCTGTTAATACCAATTTGCTGGTGAGTACAGGTGGTGCTTGTTTTTCCATTCTTGAGATACTTCACTTAGTAGAATGGGTTCCAGCTCTATTCGGGAATATACAAGAGGTGCTATATCACCATTGTTTCTTAAAGCTGAGTAGTACTCCATGGTATACATATACCACATTTTATTAATCCACTCATGAATTGATGGGCACTTTAACCAACGGCTTTGAATAGAAATGTGGGATCCCATTTCTGGGGACTTTGGCTTCACTCCTCTGTATTCCAGTGCTCCTCAGCGTCTCTGCCACACACCGGGCTCCATGTGTTTGTTGGAGGAGGGAAGGAGCTCCAGGAAGCCTGTGTTGCCAGGCTGGAGTGCACTGGCTATTCTCAGCCCTGATTTTAGTATACTAAAGTCTTGAACTCATGGCCTCAAGTTATACTCCTGCCTCTGCTTCCCAAGTACCAGTAAATTAAATTGGCACACGTAGCAGCTGTGCTAGCTTGGGCAACTTACTTATCCTCTCTGTCTCAATTCCTTTGTCTATAAAATAGAGAAAATCATAGTAACTTACCTCATCGGACTGTTAAGAGAATTTAAGTTACCACAGTTCTTAATACACACTAAGGGCTTAATATGTGCTGTTTTAAATTATTATTATTATTATTTTTGAGACAGTCTCACTCTGTTGCCCGGGCCAGAGTGCTGTTAGGTCATAGCACTTCAAACTCCTGGGCTCAAGCGATCCTTTTGCCTCAGCCTCCCAAGTATCTGGGACTGTAGGCATCCGGCTAATTTTTTTCTATATGTTTTTAGTTGGCCAATTAATTTCTTTCTATTTATAGTAGAGATGGGGTTTTGTTCTTGCTCAGGCTGGTTTTGAACTCCTGACTTTGAGTGATCCTCCTGCTTCGGCCTCCCAGAGTGCTAGGATTGTAGGCGTTAGCCACCACGCCCGGCCAGAACCAACATTTTCAGACTAAATCCTGACAGTTGTATGTCTTATCACTGATTTTTACTATCTTTATTCTCTAATCTTTTCAGTTTGAATCTTTTCTTAAATATATGATTACTTCGAGAGGAATGTATATTCTGAAAAAATGAAAAAAATTGATTACAAACTGTTGAAGGCAAAGACCATGTATTATACTGCTTTTTAAAAGTCTCTTAAACCTCTCAGGATGATTCTGGGGGCTTAGCATAATATGTTTTTCTGATCATGTTACTATCTAATTTTCTTTTTTTCTATTTTTATTTTACTTGTGTTACATATAGATTTAAATTTGTATCCTATTTCGTTCCAACAATACTTTGGGTAGCTTATAAACTTATATATAATAACATATAAAATAAAGATAAATCAAGGTCATGAAAATATGAAGCTTGAAATAGATGAGATTAGGGTAAATTATACTGAAATATATACTGTGAAAAGTGTAGTTGTTAAAGGTAGCCATAGACTAAGTTCTGAGCTTCATGATTGTCAAAGGAAAGAAGGAAACATACCACTTCCTCAGCAAAAACACAGCTTCCTATGTTAAAATAATCAATTGGGAGGCCATTGCGTGGTGAGGCTCTAGTGCTGTAGGTTCCTGTGTAAGCAAGCTTAAACCCAACTCAGTGTAAATGGGTATATTCTAGGAAAATGAAACAAGCTTAACCCATCAGAAACCAGCAACTAACCTCTAAGTGTGGACTTTACGCTAGAATGATCCAAATAAGTCCTACTGGTCCACTTTAATCAATCAAATATTTCCTTTACCTTGCTTCTACGTTCACACTATAAAAGTTTTGTCTTCATGCTCCTTTGGTGGAGCCCCAGACTGCTTGCATTCTGGAGCTACCCTGTTCATTAATCACTGTCTGTTCAAATAAACTTTTACATTTTAATGTGCCTTAGTTTATCTTTTATCTCTTGGAAATAGTGAGTGAAATGCAGGTTGTAATTTCAGATTTGAAAGGATACTCTGAGTAGCCCTAGAG